CTCTGGCTGGTGTGGCTCAGTTGGGTGGAGTGTCATCCTGTGAACCTGAAGGCTGAAGGTTCATCCTGGTCTGGGCACACACCTACGTCGAGGGTTCAGTCCCTGGTTGAGGCGTGTTCAGGAGGCAACCAATCAATGCTTCTCTCTCCCTCTCTCCCGTCCTCTCTCTGTAAAAAGCAATGACAAAATGTCCTTGGGTGTGGATAAAAATAAATAATTTTTAAAAAGGCATATAAATGGTCAACAGATATATGAAGAGATGCTCAACAAATTAAACCCACAATGAGATCTCACCTCACACCTGTTAGCATGGCTATCATTAAAAAAATCAACAAATAACAAGTGCTGGTGAGGATCTAGTGAAAAGGGAACTCTCAAGCACTGTTGGTGGGACTGTGAATTAGTATGGCCACTATGGGAAGCAGTATGGAGATTCCTCAGTTGCCACATGACCCGGCAATTCGACTGCTGGGCATTTATCTGAAAGAAAAAAACAACCAAAAACATGAATTCAAAAGATACAGGCTCCCCTATGTTCATTGTCCCATTATTTGTTAACAGCCAGGACATGGATGTAACCCAGGTGTCCATCAACAAATGAATGGATAAACATGTGGCACACACACACACACAATGAAATCTTATTCTGCCATAAAAAATAATAAAATACTGACATTTGTGACAACATAGATGCATCTAGAGAGCATTACACTAAGTGAAATAAGTCAGACAAAGAGAGACAAATATCATATGCTTTTTTCCTTTTCTTAAGGTTTTATTTATTTTGCGAGAGAGGGAAGGGAGGGAGAAAGAGAGGCAGAGAACCTGGGGCCTGTCCAGTAACCCAGGCATGTGCCCTGACCTGGAATGAACTGGTAACCTTTCAGTTCCCAGGCGGATGCTCAATCCACTGAACCACACCAGCCAGGGCTGAACAGCATATGATTTCACTTATATGTGGAACCTAAAAAGCTGAAACAAATGAATAAACAAAAGGAAAACAGACCCATACATATAGGACAATGGTGGTTGCCAGGGGGGACAGGACCAAGGAATGGGTACATTTAAAAGTTAATGAATTTTTACAAACTGACTATAATAAAAGGAAAAAAGAAATAGTTTCATTCACCCTTTGAGTATTTGTTGAATGCTAACTCCCTCATAAAGTATTTCCAGATTTCCTCAACTAGGCTTTTTTGATTATTTCTTTGATGTTGATTTTTTTTAAATCACTGTTATGTCATTAATATATTTTAATATGTTCTTGTTTTGTATTAAATTCATGTGGTTGTCTTACTCACCTATTAGTCAATTCTTGAAGACTTAAATGTATTATCCTGATTCTGTTTACGGGTAATAACTTCTGGGTAATTATTTGTGAATTGTATTAAATTGAACCCAAAATAATATAATTTTTAGCTGATGACTACTGAGTCCTGTGTCAAATCTCTTCTTATGCTTCATTTCAATGCTTGTTAAGCCTAGTGCCATTGTCACTAAAAGCTCATTCATGATGGGTTTCTTGGCAGAAAGAAGTTGAAAAATAGGTCCGATAAACTATTTTTATTGGTTCTAGTCCATTTATTGGTTTCTCTTAGAGAAAGTGGGTGTGAAACAGGAAGCCTGAGGCAGAATAAAGCATTAGAGCATTATTTAATAAAAGAAACAGCTTTTCTTTTTTAAAATCTTTTTTTAAATTTTATTATAAAGTGATACATACATTTCATTAAAATTTTAATATTCCATAAACATTTAATGCAAAATGTGAAAAGTCCTTCACATCCCCCACATCCCCCAAGAGACAGCTTTTCTTAATCCAAAGCACCTGCGTTGTCCCTTTAACTTCATTACAGTGCCAACTGATTGCTACCTGTAGATATTTAAATGGTCAGGATACGTGAATAACAAGTAGAAACACCAAGAGATTCCTAAATCAGACACTAAAAACATCCAGGTCCTAGGTACCTACTACAGACTGCATTCTAAGATAGCTACAGATATCTTTCTAAGCACACCAACTTTAGTTGCAAGTTGAGAAATGGGACATTTGGGGTCCATGGATTCATTGAATGGTAATTCTAGTTTGAAATCTTGACAGAGTTCTTAAGACCTATGACCCACTAATCACCTCTCTACCAAAAATGCAACTAAAAACAAGTAATACATTTTTGTTTGTGTGTGTGTGCATGTAAATTAGACTTTTGTCCTGCACCTTAATTTAAAGTTTAAAAAGTTAGGGTAGTGTGTAACAAAGAAGAATTTGATATTACTTTCTATTTGGGAAACCAAATGACTATATATGTACCAGGAAATCACATACTTGTTCAATTTATTTTTAGAACACTTATATGGTGTTTATACTCAGGTATACTCGGTACTCAAGTACCTTTTAAAAGTACTTTAGAAACATTGTGAATTCTCATAATAACCCTGTGGGGTTGGTACTATTACTTAATTTTATAGATGGGGATACTGAGGCACTGAGAGATTAAAGTAATTTGTTCAAGGTCATTTAGCTATTGAGTGTAAGAACAAGAATTTGAACCCAGGTCATCTGATTTTATGCTTATAACAACTGTCCCTTCAAACTAACTGAGTTGACCTAAGTCTAACTCCATTCTTCTGGTGAAAGGTCTCCTGCTTAGGCATTAGTTCCAGGTAAATAATGTTTCACTTCTTTTGATAGTTTTATCAAGAAACACCATTAGGTGCTTGATTATTGGGATAAGTACCAAATACTTCTTGAGTTTGGACAGACTTAGAAGATAAAAAGGAAGTTCCATTTCAGATGTATTAACTTTAAAAGATAAGGGACTATGGAAACTGCATGTCTACAGTGCTCCTAGAATTCATACTCATTGCCTTTGCTCCTCACATCAACTCTTTGTTGGCAGGGCAAATATTAGTTGTTTCATTTTAAAGATGGCAAAAGTTGAGGCTCAAAATTAAGTGACTGTCTGAAAACCTCAGATAGTGAGCAACAGGGTCAGCACTGTAATCCAGTTCTCCTGACTCCAAGTTCAGTGATCTTTCTCTTGTATTAAAATCCTTTCCTACAATCTGAACCGTGCTGTTATGTTGGCAACAGTGCAAAACACCAAGTGCCTAGAAACCATGATGCTGCCTTCTCGGAGTGCCACAAAGTCTAATTGAGGTTAGACTTTAGCCACCAAATCCCTATGTTAATTCCCTTCATGTGCTTCATCTTAACCTTTGTTAAACTCATTGCCCTTGTCACCAGAAGCTCACTTTTAATGGGCTTCTAGGCAGATAGCGCAGGTACACTGTCTTTTCTGCAATGTCCAGACATTCTGTTTCTCTTAGTTCTGGGTAAGAAGCCTGAGAGGCACCTGTCAGCAGCCTGGGGTGACGCCTTTTCCCATACTTGGGCCTCGAGTTCCACCTCGGACACAGCCATTTCCCTGTCTCACAAGCGGCTCTTGTGAGATGTGGCTATTTGGCAAAGGTGAAATGTCTTTTCCTTCTGTTGGTTTGAGGTAACAAACTCTGTCTAGAGTGGCTTATACAGGGAATAGTCTTTATTTTAGAGGAAATAGCCATGGCTGTTGAGTTCCCTTTTCATCCAGTTCATGAAGTTCTGAGAAGTCAGATGTATGATCAGATTCTAAGAAAACTTTAAATGCTCAGTCATTTAAGATTTTTATCAGCAGGTGGCACTGCTCTCTTTCCTCACCAAATACAGTCTCTCCAAGAAAACACTGGCTGTTTCTTTGTTGCTGTTGAGTTCCTTAGGCTTGTTTAGCCAGATACATTTTTTTCTGAGTTCCCTTTTGTAGCGACTTAGTCTACAGTATCTGTTTATGCGGTTTAATTTATTTATACCCTCTTCCACAAAGGGTTTGAAATTGCTTACAACATACAGTATATGAGGAAAAGGAGAATAGAACTTGCAATAAAGAATGTATAATTTGATTCTGGGTTGTGGGTAGCTGAAGAAAAAAAATACACACCCACATACATCGTATTTTTCCATGAATAATGCACACTTTTGCCCAATTTTTTTAGGGAAAAATAAGGGTGTGCATTATACATGCACGGCGTTAAAACACGGGTGTGCATTATACATGATGAAATACCAGGTCTTTGGGTGAATGACTTTTTTTAGGATTTGAAATTAAAATGAACGTTCTCACCTAAGATTAAGCAAGTTTCTGATGTATTCTTCTCATCTCTCTAATCTGTTTTATAATATTATTCCTATTCTATTAAATCTAAATTGTACCTTTACTACCCTGCAGCCTCAAGGCTGCATAATTAGCATTTCTGAGGTTATAAGCTTTGATTTTTCAATATGCAGGCCTCACCCATTAACTCATTCATCCTACACAGATTAAGCTCCAACTGTTTCCAAGGCCTTGTCCTGGGTATTGAGACCACAAATAAACCCATTAGGTAGCTTTGGCTGTGTCCAGTTTATAATAGGATTCTCTTCTCTCAGAGAGCTTTTAGCTGGTTGGAGAAAGAAGACCTATGTTCATACTCATTAAAATTAGAGAGCTATTGCAAGCAATGTTACAATCAAGTGCTAAATCTTTGTGATGTGTCTTAATAGGGATCTAGGATTGTTCTGCCTATATAAAAAAAATAAATCGGTAAATTTCATCTCATTCAAGTTTCTAACGGAAAACCAGAATGAAACTGCTGCTTCAGTACAGTAAGGAATGGCATGGTCCGCAGTGGCTGGGATAATTGGGGTGTGGGCGCTCTGGGCGGACGGCCCCACGCAGCCCGGATGCTTGTCCGTGGTTAACCAGGAGGACCAGCATCTCACCACCACATCATCCCCGACCCCCCCACCCCTCCACCGCACTGTGGTCGGAGGTTGGGGCAAGGATTGCTGGCGAAGGGTTCCAGGGTGCCACCCTCCCGAATCGAACTCCAAAGCTGGAGGCCCAATTCCCTGTGCTCCGGGTGCGGGGCGGGCAGCAGTGGCTTTCTGGAGGGCGCGGGTTCTGCCACTCTGCCCCACGGTCCTGCAGGCCCAGCCCGGCAGGGTCCAGCTTCCCAGCCGCTGGAACAGCCAGCCACCTGGACGCGTTCCTGCACCTGCATCTGGTGCCCGAGGTCTACGAACCCTGAATGTGGTGTCGGACTCAGAGAAGCACTCATTCGAGTACTTGGTCCTCAGCTACCAGCTCATCTGAGTGACCGAGACCCCGCCCAAGGCCAAGTGGCAGGTCGTGGCGCTGGGGGACTTCGTGCCCTTTGTTCTGGTGAGGAGCGTGGGCCGGCAGGCAGGTTCACGAGGAACTCCTTCAGGGGCCCTTCAATTCCAGCCCTCCTACACACAGGAAGGAATCGGAGGAGGAAGACCTTCCTCTTCCTCCCTGGACTCTGGAACTCTCTTTAACTTCCTGCAGTACTAGCAGCCACAGAGAGAAACTGTGGATTGTTTGCGCATTTCCTATACAGATGCCTTGCCCATTCTCACGGTGTGCACCGGTCATCCCGCCCAAATAGGGCTACAGATTTGAGAACTTAGCCCCCTATCAAGAGTACGTTTTAAAGTCATTCGCTCTTTCAGTATGCACCTAGCCCGTGCCAGGTACTGTGCCACACACTTGCGGATGCAGAAATGAAATAGGTCTCCTTCCTAGAGGCCGAAAGCCAACTCCCATGCAAATAAATGCCGTGTGAGACCTGTGGTGAGCGCTCTTGTGCCTTGTTTACTTGTTTTTTTTAATCTCCAGTGGGTACAGCAGGTTAAGTGCTCAATATGAATGAGTGAATGAATGGACGCATTAATGAGATGTGAACAGGATTCCGCCTGACAACCTCAAGCGGATCACTTGATCCAAACTGGGCTCAGGTCACGCTGGAAAAACGTCCTTAGCAGGACGGTCACCAGGGTGCAGCCTTGAAGGAGATACAATGTGGCACAGCCACGCCTTGTCCCAGTTTTTAGTGTGCTGCTACTGCATCCCCTTTGCTCCAGGAATAGATTTACCTTATAAACCAGCAACAGGTTGGAGGCAGTCTCTCTTCTCCAGTTACTGTTTTTCCTCCCTTGGCTCTGTTTGTCCGAGCTGCTCTCCAGGTGTGATCTTTTTTTCCGCTGGGGACAGGCGTCCAGCCTTGTTTATTTTCCCCTTGTCTGAGTGTCTGTGTTCCCCGGGGAGAGGTTGGTCAGACTCTCAATGGGGCTGTTTTGCCAAGAGAAGCAGAGCTTGTGTGGAATAGTCTGTAAGAAGAGAATAACATTAATGAAAAAATTTTTATTTTTTCCACTTCCTATATCTCTGGGGGATAACATCTTAGGGCAAGTTCATTCTTTTTAAAAAAAAAAGTGAAATGGGGGAAGGCAAACTGCCTTTTCCCCTACTGTCACCATTTCTATTATCTTGAACTAAAAAAAAAAAGTTGAATTTCCTTTATCAAATGTTTCTTTAAAAAAAACATTAAATGCTCAGCTTTTTTCTTGTGCCTGGCAAACATTTGTTGTTTTGACAGAGAGTAATGACGCTAGGATTTGGTTACTCTGCCCAACAGGAGACGGTCTGCGCTCCCGGCAGTGGTGCGTCTAGTGGTGCGTCTCTCTTTCCGAGCGGCTAGAACCTGAGAAGTGCGGCGGAGCTCCGCGGGCGCTCCTGAGCCAAGAATCCCACAGAAAAGCTTACCAATCGGTTTAGTAATACGTCACGCACAAAACTTGCCTTTCAGGCATGTAGATGATTGTGTAATGTCCATAAAGGTGCTACACAAATCTAAGATTTCAGCACTGCTGCTAGAGTTTAACTTTGGGTGAAGTTGTGGTAGGCAGATTAATGACCCCAAAAAGGCAGCCCTGGGACCTGCACATATGGTACGTTACATAGGGGAACCAAAGCTGCAAGTGGAGTTCAGGTTGTTTGCTAATTAACTAACTTTAAAATAGGGAGATTATATTGGATTCTCTGGGTGGACCCAGAATTTTAGAGCCTGGCCCGTTTGCTTGCAGTGTTCATGTCCTCCTCCTTGTTCAAGGTTGATCAGATCATCATATTTACAGTCCTTTTTCTCCTCTTGTTCCTCCTCCTCCTCCTTTAAAAAAATGTCATAAACATTTTAGCTCAGAACGGTCACAGGCTTGCTGAAGAGACCACTGTAGTTTGCCAAATGATCCCTGCTTCCTCCACTTCCATAATCAGATCTTACACGTTTCCTAGGCTAAACCCAAAGTCATCCTTTCTTTCTTCAAATTGCTTTTCCTTGGCGGAGCCCATAATGGCAGGTTTTGGGGTCTATTTTGTTCATTTCTGTAGCTCTGGTTCCTAGAACACTGCCTGGTGCAGATGAGACACTCAATAAATATTTGTTAAACATTCAACATGTTTAACAAATGTCTCTCTGTTTCCTGTCTCTTTCTAAATTTATTATCTGCAGTATACACTTGGGCATTTTATACTATGTTTTTATTCAGCCTTTGCTTGCCCCAATACAGACTGGGTCAAGTTTGTTAACCTCTACTCCATGCTCCACGCGCTCATCCATAAAATGGAGGTAAGAGCGCCTTACTCAGACAGGGTTGGAAGGAGTAAATTAACAGCTGTAACACTTAAAACAATGGTTGGCATACAATAAGAGCTAATTAATACTCCTTATTCATACATAGGAAGTCAATGAAGGCTCCCGTGGATCTGTAAGTTCAACATTACTATCCTCTTTCCAAGGTAGGACATTTAGCTTTAGGAAATTTAGGACATTTGGAAAGAAAATGACCTTTTGAGCATTTATTATATATTAGGTGTCTTGAAATACATTATCTCACTTATTCTTCTTGAAAATCTGTACAGTAGGTTTGACAAATTTATTGCATTCAGAAACAGAATTCCTGATCTTCCCCTCAAACGAGTTCATCCCTCAGCTTCCCCTGTTTTAGGAGATAATGTTTCCCATCATCTTTAATTCCATCCTCTCTCCCACATTCAACATATCATCAGTACGTCCTCTTTTTTAAAATGTATTGTGGTAACATTGGTTAATAACATTATATAAATTTCAGGTACAGGTTACAATTCGACATGTGTATACTCTACTGCGCACTCACAACCCAAAGTCTGGTTTCCTTCTGTTACCGTGCATTGGACTCCCTTCACCCAAATTACCCTCCTCCCCCCACCCCCTTCCTGCTGGTAACCACCATTCTGTTGTCTGTACGTGACTTTGTTTTTGTTTGTTAGTTCATTTGTTACTTTTTTGTTTTATATTCCACATGTGAATGAAATCATTTGGTTTTTGTCCTTTCTAACATTGCATTTAGCACAATATCCTCAAGATCCATCCATGTTGTTGCAAATGGCAATATTTCATCTTTTTATGGCCGAGTAGTAGTCCATAGTACGCACACCCCATTTTCTTTATCTATGCACCCACGGGTGGATGCTTAGGTTGTTTCCACGTCCTGGCTGTGGTAAATGACGCTGTCGTGAACAGGGTGGCGCATACATCTTTACAGACTAGTGCTTCCATATTTTGGGGGTAAATATCCAGAAGAGAAGTTGCTGGATCTCATGGTAGTTCCATTCTTACTTTTTAAAGGAACTTTTATACTAGTGTATCCTCTTGTCTTGTGTAAAGGAGGAAAACGTTTTCCTCAACCCTTTTAGGGTCCTGAGCTGGGTCTCTAAACTGACAAAGACAGATTAATAGGAGAAAAGCATAGAGATTTATTTAATATACATTTTACATGACATAGAAGCCTTTATAAGGAAACAAAGGCACAGTTAGACTGGTGCATTTTTATACTGGGTTTGCTGAAGAATGAAGAGTCATGGAAAAGTGTGAGAGGACAAAAAGGGGGGGATGAGCCAAGGTTGCTGAACTGGGGAAGCTTAGCCAGCCTGTGGTGTGGGCTCCTGGAAGCATGCCTTTCTCACAGACCAGATGTCTCTTTCCTCTGGGCATGGGGGGGGGGCACTTCCCGCATGCTTGGGGGAAGGTCAGAGAAACTTTCTGAACCTGCCTTTTTCTCAGATTCCTTCAGCTTAAAATATTCAGTATGCCAAGGTGCCTTATTTTGGGGTTGCATGTCCTGAACCCTGTCACTTGTGTTCCAAAATATATCCAACTATGACTTTTGTTATTATGCCTTTTCCTGGTGCCAGCTGTCCAACCCCTTGTCTAGACTATTGAAATTGCCCTCAAGTTGATTCCTCTCCAAATAGCAGCTGGGATGATCTTTAAAAACACAAATTATGAGTTAAATTATGTCACTCCGCTGTTTCACAACCTCCATGAACTTGCAAACTCACTGCCTACAAGAGCCTCCATGATTTTACCCCTGCCTCTGGGGGTAACCTGCTACCACTCTTCTATAAGCTCTTTGTGCTCTTCTTCCATGCGTTGGTGCCGTTGCTCTTGCCATCCCACCTGAAACACTCGTCCCAGATCCTCCGAGGGTTGATTTCTTCTTGTCAGCTGTGTCTCCAAGTTCAGCATCACCTCCACAGGGATGCTATCCGTGGCCACCCCATCTGAAGTACCATTCCCCTATCACGCTTATTGTATCTTTTTGTCTCAACGCACTGATCGGTATCAGCATTATAAGATTAACCTTTGCAATGACGTATTATCTCCACGAGAGCAGGACCTTGATTGTCTTGCTCATTCCTGTGTCATCAGGCACTATTTTTTGACACAAAGTGTGTAGATGGCCAATAATCATTTGTTAATTGGAAGAATTAATAAGTGAATGAATGAATGCTCAGGTCCATCACACAGGTTACCTCTCAGAAAGGGAGATCTTATTTCATTATTCCCAATTGCTGAGGGACTCCAGAGACAGCCCATCACACTGGCCAGAGTCATACACCCAGTTAGTGGCAGAGTTTGAATAATGTCTCACTGGTCTCCTAATGTTCAGGTTCAGATCTGTCATGCTTCTCTTTGTGTTTGTGTGATGTGATCCCTGTGCTGTTTATCCATGATACACATTTTGAGAGGTAATAAGAGTTATGTAGACTTCCACCAAGATGGAAGCATAGGTGGAAACATTGTGCCTTCTCACACAACCAAGTTTAAAGACAACGAAGTTTTAGTAACAAAAATGCAGCCAAAACACAGAAAATTGAACTATACAGAAGTCCAACAACAACGAACCATTCAGCCAGACTGGTAAGAGTGCTGGAGCCAGGAGCGGAGCGGGGTCGGGCAAGAAAGATCCCCTGGACTGACCCAGGCACGGGCAGTGGTTGGCAGATCCCAGGCGTGGGGTAGCAACGGGCAATCCCAGTGA